AGCAAACACCATGAGCCCCTGCAGGCTCCTGCCTGGATCCCAGGAGTCCAGCTGCTCGGGCAGGGCCTGCTTCGACCTCCTCACCCGCCTCTGCGGTGGCCGTGAAGACCTCGGGCCCCCACGAAGCACAGGGGCCGCTGATACAGAAAGAACCTTCAGCCAGCACTGCCATGGCTTTGGGAAGGGGTTGCTGTCTGCTATCACTGGGATTCTTTTTCTCTCCTCTCCCACTGTGAAATGAGCTTAAAAAAAAAAAAAAAAAAAGTTCTGAGGCAAAAGAATGTCTTGGTTTGTACAGCTTTGAAGCAAGGCAGACTGTCCCTCCATGCAAGGGAAAAGACAGGGCCTGCTGGGGCCAGGGAGCTGCACAAACTCTCTGGGGCCGAGACAGGAGGGAGGCAGAATGCGAGGTGCAGAGAATGCCACCCCCTCCTTGGCAACAGGCGCTCAGGGAGGTGCTGCTGGGCTCAGGTGCATGCATGCAGTTCCCAAGGACAAGAGGACAATGGCTGGGGCGTCAGAATAGCCTCAGGCGCATGGGAATTGCAGCAGCTGGCTGAGGAGAGAGGCGTCCCCGGGGGGGGGGGGAAAGCAGGGCGTGAGAGAGATTGCGCATTCAGGGCCCACAGAACCCGGGGCCAGACTGGAAGCTCTCCACCTCTGCACACCCTGGGACCCAACAAGGCAGGTACTATCTGAGGGTGGGGGCTCAGTCCCATCGCTGAACAGCAGGGACACCATTCCTGCCTGGACGTGCAGGAGGCTGGGGGCTGGCCCACTCCAGGCCCCTAGTGAACTGACATTCCGGGTCCCAGGCCTGTGGAAGCTGTTTGGGGTTGTCTGTCTTATGGGGTTTTCAGCCGAAGCCTCCCAGCCTTTCCCTGTTCTTCTACTGTCTGGCTTTTCTATGTTCCTAAGATACGTGCAAGTTGGTCCCACACAACTACAACGTGGACTGCCACCTTGTCTTACTTGCTGTGGTTCTCAACCAGGGTGATCTCCCTCCCACGGAACATGTGATAATGTCTGGAGACACTTTTGGTTGTCACACTGCGGGGAGAGATGGCATGTGGTGGTAGAGGCCAGGGATGCTGTAGACATCCTACCACGCACAGGCCCCTAGCAGAGGGTGCCTCAGGCCCAGGTGTCAACAGCATGAAGGCAGAAAAGCTATCCTCTAGGCTGTTTGCTTGCCTGGAGATGCCACCATGCCTCACCAGGGCAGTAAGGGGACGGTTCGCTTCCGAGAGAGCGTCTCCCAGCACCAATGCAGCGGAGCGCAACTGAGCTCACCTTCTGGAGGATCTTCCACACCTTCTGGTAGAATCCCACGGGGACCCTGTTGATGGCCCCATCCAGCCTTCTCCGGCGCAGCCACTGGCCCTGCCGCTCCCCCCAGCCGATGTGATGTCCTCCCGAGTCTGAGGATGATGTCCCAGTGGGTGAGGATGGGGTGCTGGACCTCTGCAAGACAGACAGCCTGGGGCCTCAGAAGCCACTCAGTGCGTGCCCCAGGGAAAGCTCACCATCACAAAGGGCGGCCCCACAACCCAGACCCAAATGCCAGAACACCACTTGCCAGAGAGGAACACGGTGCCTGCAGTACACCTTGCCTGTTTCCTGATGCAGGAGGATGCACACACTTTAGGCTGGTCGCTTTACTCCATGCTGCACTCTGCCTGGCCCCTGAGAGGTGGTCTCGCCCCCAAAGCTAGAACCCATAGGGAAGAGGCCGAGCAGGGCAGGCACAGGCTCCAGACTGCCAGAACGCTAATCCCCACTTAATGCCAGTGGTACCAAGGACACACCCGAGGCCCTCTGGTCCTGCCATGAACACTAATTCCGGGCCTCAGTCCCATCTACACAGTGGGGACACAGTTGGGCATCCTTCAGAGAGTCACCTGGGAGCCTTCCCCACATGGAGACACAGGAGCCCCTGAGGCACGCCTGGTGTGCGCTAAGTGCCCACGAGGGGCAGCTGTCACCGGCACGTGGAGTGGGAGAGCTCTGAGAGTGACAACAGGCTCTCGGAGCAGATACCCGTGGCCCAGGGAGACAAACTCCAAAGTGCCCACCTCACTGCTGCAGTGCCACAGAGAAGTAACAGTCACCTTTCCATAGAGCGGAAACCAGAGAATGCAACACACAACATGGGGGAGGACAAACAGTAAAGCCCATGTTTAGTGGTGGGGACCGTGGAGATCTCCATCCACCCACCCTTTGCAATCTCACTTCCTGCTTGCCCTGTTCATGGCACTGGGCTTTATCTTAATTTGGGGCAATGAGTGCCTCTGAACTGGGGATACTTGGCTGAAGTGAGGGAAAAGGGTGCCATCTCCTTCCCACCTCCTCAACACTGGCGGGATGGATTCAGGCTCCAGAGGGGAGCACTGTCCAAGAGGCTCCCTGCAGCTGGGGCGGGGGCAGGCCTCTGCATGGGGGCACATCCACTCCCTGCAGCAAAGCTCCCAGCCTTCGGTCTTGCCCTGCGGGGCTTCTAGCTTTGTGACCTCTAGGTTGAGAAGGGCTAACCTTCACACTCACACATCTCTTTGCCTGGGACCATGTGGCACTTTGATTTCTCAATGCGCACAGTCAAATGTAAAGGGTTAAAAGTGGAACCGAAACATGAAGCGCGCACAGGGCCGGGGGTGGAGTGTGCCTTTTTGCCGCACTTGGACTTCAACAGATCTTATTTTGAAAGGAAGTTCGGCTGGGTTATTCCACTGGGCTCATTACTGCCACTAAGGCAACAATTAGACATAAATAAAAGTAATTACAGCTGCACTCCTCAATGACTCAGCTGATCTGGGCACTTCAGTTTCAGGAGCAAGACAGCCTCCACTGTGTAGTGAGTGCAATCTGAGTCCTGCATGGGACCTGGGGCATGGTGGGTGCAGGCTGCTAGTCGGCACGTGCAGGCTGCTAGTCGGCACGTGCGGGCAAGGGCTAACCATCCTGGCTCCATAAAGAGGCCCGGAACTAATGCCCAGAAGTTTCCAGAAGCCCTGAGAATTGGTGAGAAGGACGCTCCTCACCCACACGGAGCCGAGGAGCACAGGTAGAGAACCAAGAGCTCAAGATGGAGAATAAAGCTCAGTGCAAGCACTTTGGGGCCTTCTTTCTACCCTCCTTAGAATTCCCGTTGGAGGAGCCTGTGAGCATCCGCTGAAAACAGCCCTGCTCGAATCCTCACAAGTTGGGCATGAGGTGACAACATGAGGAAGGACGTGAGGAGAAGCAGTGACGGACACAATGATCCCGAGGCACGGTTACCGCAGACTTGGAGGAATGCGCACTGCTGGACGCAGCCTGGCCCACAGAAAACAACTACAAAACAAAAAGAATCCATTCAGTCGTGAGCAATGACACCAAGAGACACGGCAGAGGAGGGTCACGGAGCAGCATGCAAAACACCCACAGAAAGCAGCAGCAGCAAACGCGGGTGCAGAGAAGTTCCCACAGCAACACACACAGGCAGCTCAGGTGCAGGCGCACCTGCAAGCACCGCTCTGGGCTTCGACTCCATGCGGAACTTGCTAACTGGTCTTTTTAAAAACATGAACTTGCTAACTGGTCTTTTTAAAAACATGAACTGTGGCCAGGAGCAGTGGTTCACGCCTGTAATCCCACCACTTTGTGAGGCTGAGGTGGGCAAATCATGAGGTCAAGAGTTCAAGACCAGCCTGGTCAACATGGTGAAACCCTGTCTCTACTAAAAATACAAAAAATTAGCTGTGAGTGGTGGCGGGCACCTGTAATCCCAGCTACTCAGGAGGCTGAGGCAGGAGAATTGCTTGAACTCGGGAGGGCGGAGGTTGCAGTGAGCCGAGATCGCGCCACTGCACTCCAACCTGGGTGACAGAGCAAACTCCATTCAAAACAAAAACCAAAACCCCATGAACTGTTACCACTGAACATAAATAAGGTAAATGTTCCTGTTGTATGTGGAGGGTGCCTCATCAAGTTAGGACACAATTTATTTTCCAAACTCACAGCCATGAAATGCTCATATTTTATGGTAAGAATTGTGAAAATCTACAGATGAACCAAATACCTACAGTTGACACTAATATCCTGCATCTAACAGACATTCAGTAGATATTTGTTAAAGGAACGAATATGATCAAGCTAACCCTTTGTCCAAATAAGTATCTCCTCGTCTAAAAATCTAGAACATACCCTTAATTTGCAAGGGCACAGTGTGTTATCTACATGGTGTTCTTGCAAAAGAGACTAGAAATTGAAAATCCCACAATACCTATTACATTTTGAAGAAATAACATGCTCTTTGACATAAGTGGTCAAATACAAAGTTTGTACTGGCGAGGTGACTCCAAACCCAGCAAGGAACAGGTGATCACTTTGTCCGCATAACATGCCAGAACAGCATGAAATGGAGGTGGAAGAACTGCTCGGATTCGCCCACGGTCAGGCCATTGGGATGTGGGGACAGAGGGACGGTGCCACCGAGTGGCTGGCGAAGGAAGATGTTTGGAAAGCCAGTTCCTTACTTGGAAACAGCATAAATTAGGAGAGAAAACACGTTTTACCTCTGGACAATATATGGAATCTGCCTTTACATGTCATTAAGACGCCTCCTCTAGGCTCTTACGGTAATAGAGACATCAAAATGTTAGAAATGCGACTCAGAGGGGGAGGAGAAAGTATATCGCAAGGGTGATAGAAAAGAGTGGCATCCTTACATGTTTTTCCTTCCAGGGTAAGTCCCCCCGGGCGATCTGAGGACAGGAATAGCAGTATTCTTTTTATGGATATAACTGATGACCACATTTCCTCCATTTAGTTTCCTATTTAGTTCCCTCTTTTTGAACAGAAACTCTCACTGAGGCAGAACCTGGATGATCTCTTTCACAAAGTACCCTACAAAGCCCAAGAGTTTGAGAAACAGACTATTTTTAAAGGCATGGGGCAAGGTCGTCTCTCCTGCCCTCGAGCCCCGCTCTCTGCCTGCGCCTGAGCCTGCTGTTTGGATAGAGCCGCCGTCCACACATTCACATGCTGCAGTCACAGCCTCTCTTTCCACATTCAAGCCAGAAAGAACAGGAAGTAAAGGATGAAACAAGGCAAAGGGGCGTCACCTGTTCATCAGCACTAAATCGCCTAGTCATCTGAAAGCAAATATACATCAGGAAATCAAAACCAGCTTTGAGTCAAGAAGGCGTGCTGCTTCTGTCACCCTCTCTCTCAATCCAGGGCCATGTTGGTCAAACCGCAGGGGGTTACCCATGAGTACATCAGGGACTCGATCTAGTGGGTCACGACCAGCATTTAAAATAGAGCAGAAAATCTGAGTGCATTTCTCATGGTCAGAAGGAAACTCTTTCCCACCATGGATCCCGAGCAAGGGCTAGCACAGTACTTGGCACATTAAGACTGTGATGCTGAGCTGCTGCCCTGTGTGGCCACTTCAAATGGATTTTTACCAGGAATTAAAGGTGAACTAAGAAAAGAGACCAGACCCTTGTGGCTGGTGGAGAATCCAAGTATCACGGGCATTCCGGTCTACTTCCAGAGCGCTCTTGCTATTTCATTTGAAGGACACAGATGACTCGGTGACTTTTTGCATGGCTGTGGCCCACTCCACAGAGTGGTTCTCGGGAACAGAGGCAAACATTGACAAGGGTATTTTCTGGAATGTTCATGTTAACATCACATTTCTGGGCAGCTCTGGAATATCTATCTGGGGACAGGGTGTGTTCAGATTCCAGACAGAAGGGACCTCCCATTCTCTACAGACAGTGGGGTCTAGGTTTCTGTCGCTTTCTAGCGGGGAGCCAGGTAGGGAGACCACCACTCTCCCCTCGCTGCCACCGAGGTGTTTTTACCTGTTTCATTTCACTCCTCAGTCTGTTAATGCCACTCCTCTCGGTTTTGGTGACTCCGGTATGGCCCACCTCGTGGATGGAGATGGCAGGGCTGGATGTTGAGGAGTGGATAGGGCGCACTGGAGAGGAAACACACACACGTGCTTCTTAGGACATCTACCGCATCCATCCCGAAGGAGGATCTGCCCGTTTCCCCAACTTGACAATGAGGGTCTTCTCTGCCCTGCCAGTGCCGTGTCTGCAGCACGGAGAGCAGCACAGGCACAGCAGTCAGCGCTTAAAGGAGTGGATGGAAGCGTGCAGAGTACTTAAGCACCATTACAACACAGTGGCCACGAAGTCCCTTACACAGTGCGATCCGGTTTTTTTTTTTTTTTTTTTTTTTT